AAAAGTTATGTCTTCCATACCACAAGAGTTCCTGGTGAAATCATTTGACGGGATTCCTGGGCGGCTCAAGAAGCAGTTAACGAAATGTCGTGCCCATATCGAATTTTAAATAAATCCTCATGCTAAACGCTTTCCTCTCATGTCCATTTCTTGTAAAAATAATTATAGTTAATAAATAAATTATAAGAATTTCAATGTGAGAAGTTACTTTTATATCACCCTGCATATACATACATATATATATATATATATATATATATATATATATATATATATATATATATATATATATATATATATTCCTTATAATATATTATTTGTGATTAATATTCACTTTCTAGATTTATTAAATAGATTGTAGTCGGTATGATAATAAAATCTAAGACTCTTTTGATGACTGTATAGTACGTTCTTCGCCAACGTTTTAAATTGGAGTTTTTCCTATTTCTTGACTGATGGCCTAGCACGCCTAGACAATCGCGTGTACCCCTTCTATTTAACCCATAGTTTTGTTGGGTGAAGAGATGAATGACTTCATACATATCCCCAGTGTATTTGTGCGAAAGTAAATGCAATGAACTATACCAAAATTACAACTCTACACACGCAAATTTCTCGTTCTGAGCTTCTAAGCATTACAACACCTGTACGTCGTAATTTAATACTCACGACTCACGTGTTTCAATGAGACATCTTTTGTTACTGCAATACACGCCTAATGTCGAAAAGAGATTCAAGATAATTGCTATCGGTTTTGCTTTGGGAATTACTATAATCTTTTGACGACTGTAACCAACTTTCAAGATGAATACATACAACAGCGGGAGCTCAAAGTGTTGCTAACTGGGGCCAAAACTGGCTTGTATATTTTAACGCCCCCAAAACGATATTGAGGTCTTTTAATTCTTTTATTGAACCATTTTCCCCTTCCATCAACTATGGATGATGACAAGATCTAGGAGAGCCTTCTCCGTTTCACGTTTACCACTGAAATGAATTGGAACGATTATATTGAATCATCTGCTAGGACTGCAGTTAGGAAGGTTGGTACACTGTGTCATATAAGATCTCATCGCAATCCATCTGATATGTCATCAAGCTACAATTCCTTTGTGCTTCAAATATTGCTGCTGCATTCGGTCTGCTGATTTTGCTATATATCTTGTGATTCTTGGCGAAATACAAAGAAGACTCTGTAATGTTATCTGTCCTGACGAGGCGTCTCGGATTCAGTCTCTTTCCCACCGCCATAACGTATCCTCTCTATGTCTTGTCAATAAATATTTTAATGGCTTTTCTTTTAATGAGGTTTCCTTTTTGTTACCTCGATCTCATGAATTTAAGCGTACTACTAGATTGGCAAAGAGGTCCCATCATTTTAATTTAGAAATACCTAGATGCAACTATAAGTTATTTTCTAATAGTTTCATATCTTGCACTTCTCGCTTGTGGAACTCTTTTTCGATTTCTTTCTTTCCTGTCAACTAGGATTTTCAGTCATTTAAATGCATCACCAATTGCCATCTTCTGTCTTCCTGGCCCGTGTTTTGTTATTTCCCTTTCTCCCCGCTAACGTTTTCTCCTTTTCTTTTACTCCCAGTGCTATAATCAAAAAGACGGTTGTTGATCACCTCAATAGGTACAATCTCTTGAGCGACAAGCAGTACGGGTTTCGATTGGCCCGATCCACTACTGATTTCCTAGCTAACATTACTCACAGAATACATAATATTATATCTAAGAGTTTAATCCGAACATTTGTAGTCATGTGTGTGCCGATAGACTATACCCGGCAGCAAGACATCTGATCGGGAGATTGGAGGTTTTGAGAAGCGTCGAACCACCTTGTAATTTCTGTTGTTTCCAGGTCCACCCTGACTCTGGGTGGTAGCATCTGTTAGGGTCCCAGCTATGGGCAAATACTGAACAGTCCACAACCAAAAACAAAACACACTGAAAGTATAAAAATACATTTTTATAGTAAAAATACCAGCAACACATTTTATATATATTGTGGCAAAAAATATATATTTATAGTAAAATGATCGACAATAGTTTTTATCTGTAGTCGAAAACATACAATTGCGTTCAGAATATGCTTACTTGAAGCCATGCCACTGTGATCAAAATATTTAGATTTCGACATTAAATAACGCATAGAGTTTGATATGCCTCTAAACACAATCAACAAACCAACTAAACGATCACTAGTGAATATAGATGCACCACCAAAATTCTAGGTTACCAGTTGATTGGTAAATGATCTCTTATCCGATCTAGCTCTAGCATTTCAGTGGTTACATTCAGTGCCTCGAAAATCAGACTAGGTACATTTTATCATCGCCGATCGGACCCTGAACTACCACGAGTCACGATGATTGCGTGTTCCCTCAGGGAAGCCCCGCGTCTTGAGCGTCTGTTAGTCATTAAAATCAACCCAGAGTTCAGGTGGAACTCGTGCATATGATCCGTCGCCAAAGATGCAGGAAAGATGATCGCTTCCCCGTACCGCTCCAGCAAGTACCTGATTCCTCAGGCTATCCTTTACTTTTTCGAGAGTCAGATCAGGCTTAAAATCGAGTACTGCTGTCATATTTGGGCAGAAGCACTTTCTAAAACTGCCTCCGCTTCGTTGTGCAACCCCTTTCTCAGAGACAAGACATCGCAAACCTCTCACATGCTCTATCGCTACTTCCATGGAAAGTGCTCAGATGAACTACGTTCCTTAGTTTTACCAGTTTTAACCTTTACGGCCAAGACTACGGGCATTGTAGCGGACCATCCTAATGAAGAAGTAAGTTCCCTCAAACAATTTCTTCCTGTGAACCACAGCTTGTTTTCCCGATCACTACAATCCTAACCTGTTCAAGTCTAGGGTTAACCGTTATCTCCCCTCCTATCCATATATCAGTCATGTGCTATGCGTGATACACGCTTAAGCGATCATGTATATTTCGATACATGACTGACGAGGCAGATTTTTTTTCCGCAGTAGGTTGCCATTTCTTTCTGCAGTATAGCCATCCAAGGCTATAGAACTGCCCTGCTATTTACTCATAGCTGGAGGGAGAAGAAGAGGATTTATACTTATAATAAGGATATTAGCACGTAAGTGAATGTAATGGATTTGACTGGAATTCGAACTCGGTCCTCCGATTCCCCAATCCGAGCCGCTATCCATTACTTTTCTTTTTTTATTTAATCAATTTACGTGTCTCTTTATCAGTATATACTGTGCCTCTTTGTAACCATCTACTTTGAGTAGAACCTTGGCCTTGTACCTCACTGTAAAAAAAAACACATCTTGCTTTTCGTGACATTATTGCCTTGCTTAGGAGTAAAATGATTAAATAAAAAAAGAAAAGTAAAAACCGATCAGTTTCTTCCTCAGATTTGTAGACTTATTGTAAACTGAGCTAAATTTAGTAAGTCACGACGGTGAGAGATCTGAAAATAAAGCGGTATGATTTTCATTGCCCAAATCATTATTTATTTTAGAATAAATTACTTGCGCTATCATCGTCTTAGTACTTAGAAGATATTCGTGAATAGTGGTGTTATATTTGTAAAAGAAATCCCCCACTGTTTGCTTGTTGCTGTTCCGAGATAAAATGTCTCACTTCAATACACGTGATCTCGTTTTGCACCTGCGACGCAAGATGCCCGACTGCGAGTGGCAATCAAATCGTTTAAATAGAGAGCTGAACTGCTATGTAATATCAATCTTCCTCTCGTATTGCAGTGAATACTCGAAAATGTACTCTGAAGTGAAAAAGTGTGTTTCGGCAAAAAAGATGTTCTGTAGAAGGATACTGAGAATACCATGGAATGAGTCTGTCAAAAATAAGGAAGTTTTAAGCACAATAGTGATAAATTAATCAAGTCTTGTAGTCACTGCTGTGAAGAAGTAATTTAATATCGTGCCATGCACACGTCTTATAAGTACTCTTTTTAAATAGTTAATGATGCTCTTAATTTAATACTAAAGTCAATAATGATCTTAATTTAATACTGAAGTCAATAATGATATTAATTTAATACTCGTCATTAATGGACTTAATTTATTACTGGGATCAGTAATGCGGTTAATTCAATGCCAAATAATGCTCTTAATTTAATACTCAAGTCAATAATGCTCTTAATTTAATAATCAAGTCAATAATGCTCCTAATTTAATGGTCATGTCAATAATGCGCTTAATCTAATGTTCAAATCAATAATGCAGTTTAATTTATGCTCAAGTTAATAATGTTTTTTATTTAATGACCATGTCAATAATGATCTTAATTTGATACTCAAGTCAATAATGCTCTTAATTCAATGATCAAGTCAATAATGCTCCTAATTTAATGGTCATGTCAATAATGCACTTAATCTAATGTTCAAATCAATTAATCAGTTTAATTTATGCTCAAGTTTATAATGTTCCTTATTTAATGATCATGTCAATAATGATCTTAATTTAATACTCAAGTCAATAATGCTCTTAATTTTATGTTCAAGTCAATAATGCTCTTAATTTACCCCAATAATGCCGACCGTAAAATCACATATTAATCTAAAGATAGTGCGGGATTTACTGGTTCAATAAATTCCAGTCAAGATCGTTCGTTTTCACTTTACACTAATGTTATGGCGTAATGTTTTAGTCCATCTCTTTTTCCACTACTACCCAACGTGTTACCCATGGGGCCACAATCACGCCATGATTTAAGTCACAAGTGTGTTTTATGTGATGCGTTTGTTAGGCTCAAACACAACCGCTTTTGAATTCAGAGCTGTCCTTCTCCGACACTGGAGTACAGTCTACGCTGCTATTTAATTCAAAACTGGTTGTGGAGAAGACATGAATTCGTACCTTTTCCAATATCATTATTGCAAAAGTGAACACAAAAACCTTGGCCGGAACATATAACTCGTCGCATCGACGCTACTTTCCGCATGAGCAATCAACAAACACACGTTCCTTCTCCCACTAGCTATAGATAAAATGGGAAAACAGACTGGGATAGATAGATAGATAGATAGATAGATAGATAGATAGATAGATAGATAGATATCTTTACAGACTGAGATAGATACGAGCGTAGGCTGAAAAGTACATAGGTCGAATGATGAAGGAGTGATGCTAGTGCTGTGAAACTTTGCATGCATTAATTTCTGACTGACCAAAGAGTAATGTTCATCTTGTTAGTCAAAAACATATGACGTTATTATCACTGTGATACTGGTTCCCAGCCAAGTATTTTTTCTCTCTTATTGGAAGCAGATAATAGTCAGATCAGGAGAATAGGGAGAATAATCAACCAGTTCAAATTAAAACTACAGATAAAGTTCATTTACGTCATTCATTCCTGTAGTTCACTGCTACTAACAAGCAACATTTTCTTTCTCCTGATGATGACCATGCTGGTCGATCAACCATTTCAATGACATAGTCACGCACAACAGACATTGGAACCAAGGACTTGTGCCCCGGAGTACTGTCCTGATGAAACAAGTACCTCGTTTGGTCTTGATACCCTTTCGTAACTACCTCAGCGAGTTAGCATGTTACTCTTCATTGATTTTCTGGATCTTTTGAAAGTAGTCAATAAACGCAATGCCTTTTGCATTCAAAAAATACTGTAGCCATCAACTTTCCTTCAAATAAAATATCCTTGGCCTTATTTGCAGCACGTGGCGAGAGATGTTTCCACTGCATTTATTACCTCTTTGTTTCTGGCTAAAATGTGCGTTAGGAAACGTTAAAGGACGCCAACTGGATCTGCGTCAAACAATGTCAGATTTTCCAGTGATGGGATCAGGCTGTGCACTTTTGATCAGGCGTCAGAATACATAGCACCCACAGAGCTGAAACCTTCATCATACCAAGTTCACTGTGCAAAATATTTTCAACTCAATCACGGGATATGCTAATAGGATAAGCTATTGGGTTTATAGTCAGTTGTCTGTCATCCATTATCATGTGGTGGACACGATCAATGTTTCCCTCGGTGGTGGCAATTGCAGGATGTCCAGACCTTGGTCCATCTTCAAGACTATCCAGTCACACACTTTCTATATTCAGATGCCTACTTTCAAACTGTTGAAAAATCTGGAGCGTCAACCCCTAATGGAGCAACTATGTCAGCATGAAGGTCGAGGTTGGGGTTAAACTTTTTTGCATGTACATGATAATACGATGCCAAATTTTGTCCATTTACAAGAGAAGTCGTTACTAGTTACTTTTGAAGTTTTGAACAGTCAGTTGTCGGTTTACCTATAAACTGACAACACAGTTCTTAATATAAAAAAAAGATGAAATTAATTTGTGCAACATTTCACAGCTCTAGCATCTCTCGTTCATAGCCAGCCTATGAACCTTTCCGCACATCCTCCTGATAGATAGATAGATAGATAGATAGATAGATAGATAGATAGATAGATATGAAGACTGAGATGAGGTGTGATAGATGTACAGACTGAGATAGATAGATAGATAGATAGATAGATAGATAGATAGATAGATAGATAGATGTGCAGCCTGAGTTGAGATGAGATTAGATAAACTTAAACATAGATAGATAGATAGATAGATAGATAGATAGATAGATAGATAGATAGATAGATATGAAGACAGATGAGTTGTGATAGATAGATAGATAGATAAGACAGATGAGTTGTGATAGATAGATAGATAGATAGATAGATAGATAGATAGATGGGTTGTGATAGATAGATAGATAGATAGATAGATAGATAGATGTGCAGCCTGAGTTGAGATGAGATTAGATAAACTTAAACATAGATAGATAGATAGATAGATAGATAGATAGATAGATAGATAGATATGAAGACAGATGAGTTGTGATAGATAGATAGATAAGACAGATGAGTTGTGATAGATAGATAGATAGATAGATAGATAGATGAGTTGTGATAGATAGATAGATAGATAGATAGATAGATATGCAGACTGAGATGAGGTGTGATAGATGTACAGACTGAGATGAGATAGATAGATAGATAGATAGATAGATAGATGTGCAGCCTGAGTTGAGATGAGATTAGATAAACTTAAAGATAGATAGATAGATAGATAGATAGATAGATATGAAGACAGATGAGTTGTGATAGATAGATAGATAGATAGATAGATAGATAGATAGATAGATAGATAAGACAGATGAGTTGTGATAGATAGATAGATAGATAGATAGATAGATAGATAGATGAGTTGTGATAGATAGATAGATAGATAGATAGATAGATAGATAGATAGATAGATATATGCAGACTGAGATGAGGTGTGATAGATGTACAGACTGAGATGAGATAGATAGATAGATAGATAGATGTGAAGACAGATGAGTTGTGATAGATAGATAGATAGATAGATAGATAGATAGAAGTACAAACTGAGATGAGATAGATAGATAGATAGATAGATAGATAGATAGATAGATAGATAGATAGATAGATTTCTCCATATGATCATCCGTATGTGTTGCGTTCATACGTGTGCGTACAAGAAGGTGAATATAACGAAAATGCACCAAACTTAACACTATATCTTTTCAATTGTGGTTAAGAATAAAGGCTGGTTATAACTGCCTCAACAGCGGGTTACGACATTGCCAAAAGAGCTGAATACAAAAAGCTCTAAAAGAGAAACACTGGAATGTAACCAAACATCATGATAATGCACAACAGGAACAACATCTTCAAAAGATTAACAGTCGGTGAAATCGGCGCATAATTCCATTGAAACTCAATAAAATCGCCATAAGCACAACAACAAAGGGAACACTCACCAAAAAAAAAAGACAGTGAGAGAATAATCATTACGAGGCTGACGTGCATTTAATGATATAAAAAAGCACACGATTTAGATAAACGTTACGGTGGGAATCTTTCTTAAATGTTACGTCATCGACATGTTCTTTTCAACAAAGTTGCAGTCACCATTGAAATTATTCACTTGTACTCACGATCCAGTTATTATAGCCAATAAGAAATAATGCGTTAACTCCACGACCTACATTTAATTTACTAGCGTCCTGCGATGCCTGGAAAGAAGAAAGTTCTCAACAAAAGCAACTGCAATAATAACAAAAATAATAATAATATTGACATAGCAATTATGAAACGACACCTATACTCTGACCTAACTAGCCCTAACAACTTAGTCAGGGACAAACTGGCTGGTTACATTCAGTGCCTCGAAAACCAAACTAGTGACGTTCCATCATCACCCAGCGGACCCTAAATCTTCACCTATTGTGATGAATGAGTGTTCTTACAGAGAAGTCCCGTGCCTTAAGCGCCTATTGGGACTTATGCTCAACCCAGACCTCAAGTAGAAATGCATACGATCCATCGTTAAAGATACTAATAAAATGGTCGGTTCCCTGTTAATCCATTAATTCCCCTACTCCTCCTGCTATCCTCAATTTTAACAAGAACCAGATCAGGCCAGAAATAGGGTACCGCTGCCATATAGGGACAGGAGATATCCGATCCTCACTTTTCAATATCGATAGAGTCCAAAAGCGTCCTTGTGAGTGATTAATTATTTTTCGCCCTAAAACCCTCTCTCGCGTGCGAAACGTTGCAAGCCGCTCGCACCTCTATCGCTATTCTCAATGAAAGTATTCAAACGAACTATATACCTTTTTATCCACCAGTTCTAATCTTCAAGGGTAAGACTCGCTATCACACGCTCATTTTATCAAATCACTCTTATTTCCTTCACATTCCATTGATGAGATGTAATTTGTACCTGAACAGCTTCTTCGACTCCCAAGAGGATGCTTCCCCAATCACTACAATGTTAAACTGTTTAAATCTAAGGTTAGCCCCTATCTTTACCACATATCCCTAAAAAATGTGTATCTTATGTTTTACTCTGTAAGCCTCTACCTCGAGTGGATGTTGAGTCTTGTACAGTGTGAAGCTTATTGTAAGCAGTAGATTTCTTTTAAAAGGTACCAATTTTTGGAATATTGATGACATTAAAAAAGCTTCTTTGACATGGTTATAATTTTTAGGTCATTTCGTTCTTTTGGTATTGTACAAATGACTGATATCATCGCTTAGAGGAGTGAAGGAATACAGCTTATACTTATAAATTTGATCTTTTACTTCTATTTTTCAACCAACTTTGAATAGCTTATACCTCTAATATCTTGTCAACACTGTACATTTGTGCAAACAGGACGCCTACATTCACTACCTTAGCGTACCCTAAAGATATTGATTGATGAACCGGTGGGGTACTGGAATAAACAAAAATATAAAGAAAATGACGCGTTCAACAAAAAATCGAAAATGACTTTTTTCGCTGCAAATTATTCATTATATCATATCCAAGTATTTTACAAAAAATTAGAGCAGATTACATAATATTTCACGCTCAGTTTCGGTTTTTGTTATGCCATAATACCTATTCTATTGTAATGGACTCCCCCACAGATAAGTAGTAGTGGCAGTGGCCAGTTTGGCTCAGTGGTGTTGAGCGAGTCAGTCGATATCGAACATTGAAGTACCAACCATCACAACTAGATTGCTGCGTCATTAACTCTTATTTCCAATTCCCTAACGTTTTGTACGTCGAACCTAATTTAGGACGACTTATTGAAATACAAGCCTCCACTGTGAAAACTACTCTACAACAGGTTTATAGTTCGTAGCTATGCAATGAGATATACCGTAGATTTGTCTGCTGAATATCATTACATTATTGTTACATAATTATAGTGAAATCATTAAGGTTTTTTTTGTCAAAAGCATTTTATTTTTGGTCGTATATTAATTTAAAATATTGTTTTTTACAGGCTTCATTTTTTAAATAGAATAAGATCATTCTAAATTTCATAATTTCGTTATTTCCTATCAAAATGACTGGGAGAAAACGATTTAAAAACGGCAAGAGAAAAGAGACGTAACAAAGCGAAAACGAAATAGCTCCAATTTGTTTAACTTAGGAAACATCGCATTGTAGCCAAAGTATTTTTAAATGCTACCAATAACAAAGTAGAAAATGAAAAATACCTAACAACAAATAGAGTATAGCATCAAAATTTATATTATTTTTATTTATCTGTTATGTAACTAAATACATAATTTTCAACAAAGTTTTCGTAACAATTGATATTTCTTGTGATAAATTCTTAATAAATACTATTGTTATTATTTTACTCAAGCGTAAGGCAGTCCTACATTTACAATTCCTTGCGGCTAGCCATGAAAAGAAATGTTGATCAAAACTGCTTAAAACATATAGACAGATGCTTAAAACCTTTAAGCACATATTGCTGCAAAATTATCAAATTACCAAACGCGACAGATAATGAGAGAAACCTTGATTAAAAAACCTGAAACTGGTGATAATGTGTGCCATTGTTGCTAGCTACTCTGTGGTTTGCTAGCCATAATAAATAGCACAACGCGTGGGGTCACCATCGAATTTTACCACCGTGACGTATAATGTTAGAGCAGTTGTAAAAAAAGGAAGTCAAAAATCATTGGCTCGGTAAGTTGATAGTCATAACATTGATGTATGTCGTCGCCAAGAAACCAAAATCAAAGAATAATTTGATATTAATATCGGAATTAGACGACACAAGTTAATAGCTTTCGAAAAAGGGTGCGCTTAAAGTCTTTCGACAATTTCAAAAAGTCATTACGAAAATCTCAGAAGTTGCAACTAATTTTTTGTTGCATATAAATGTTATTATTAAAGTACTTTTAATGATATTAATAGTTTCATTAATGATGTTTTTTATGTCTCAGACCGTAATTAATGTTCTTTTTATGTTTCGGACTGCGCTTAAATAATTACCAGGAATTATTCCTAAAACTGGATGGCAATGTGTGTCCAATATGTGTCTTGTTTTATCGAATCAAAATCGGATATTCAAACACGAATAGTTTGTTCAAATACAACAAACTATGGAAACAAGCTGCTGCATGTAAGTCGATCCTAATGATTTTGTGGACGTCCTGTATTATAGAAATGGTTTTGTCGTGCTTCTTCCGGATGTCTCAGTTATTTCCCTTTAACTAAACTCTCCAGGTTTTTTGGTTCACCACTGCTGTGACCTGGGACTGAACTCACAACTCTTTGGGTCTAGTCACTGGATCTCACCAACGTCTTTATCCACTGGGCCTTTAGAACTGCAACAATCTACCCAGTGGATGAATTATAGAGTTCGGTTCGAAATTCCAAACACCTGAATAAAGCCGTAGCGTACAACGGCCGAAACGTTGTGAATATGGCAATTAAGCTGAAGATAACAGTTCAAATAATCTAAATAATGCAAGTAATAAATATATTTGGATAAAGAATTTAAATTGTTAAATTACTTTTAATTTACATATATCATTAGCATTGCAATGTATTCCATTATATTTTAATGTTTATAATATATGTATATATGTATAACAATATAAAATAAAATAAAGTTATAATAAATTAATCCAACTCAATAAACAAATAAATAAATTAAATATATAATAAACTGATGTGGGGTCAAAGTTGGGACCACAAAAGTAAAACACGGAACACGGATTAGATGTAAGAAAGATATATTAACAACAGGTTACAGAGATAGTGTAAGCGGAGCTTACTATATCACTCTCTAGAGTGCTATGTCGCCTACTTAATATAGGCCTGGAAGAGTCTATTGTGATTTCCGGTTTCACAATATAAACCAAATAACAAACTACAAATACACGCATAAACACAAGTAAATGTAATGATAGCAATCAACAAAAATTACAAATCAATCAATAATAAAGTTTAAAAAGATCAACACTATAATTTTTGCGACAAAACTACATTTGGATCCGCCATTATTTCCACTCAATAGCGGTTAGAATAATTTGAAACATAACCATTACTGCCCAGCCAATAACCGTTAGTATAATACATATTACACATCATATATATAAATAGTCGGTCCAAAACACAACGCACTTGGTCTGACGATTGCGTTTAAGCATGAAACAGACTGTCGCCAGTAGGTGTTGACCTCGATGTCCGCTTTTATATTTTTATACGCTCTATCCCTAATATCGAGCACTTTAACTCATAAAATATACCATATATATATATATATATATATATATATATATATATATATATATATATATATATATATATATATATATATATACAGATCCACTTGAGTAATAAACCAAGCAACCAACATCCCTCAAGAAAATAAGACAAATTATAATACTAACAGGAGAATTAAAACAGAGGAATTACACACACAGTTACTCATTTACCAATCCAAATTTAAAACAACAAAGAGATAAATTTTGGGAATTGAAGGAAAAGGATCTAAATCCTCAAATAATTTGGTAAATTTTAGGCTTCACGAACATCCCTAATAGTTTTAGAGATAGATGCAAGATTTGTTTAGAGGTGAAAATCAAAAAAATAAAATACAATAATCAATGCAAACTATTAAATCAGCGTTGAAGCCAATT